CGAGTCAGTTTTTGGGGTGATTTTGGGGGTTTTTGGCACACCGTGGCCGTGCGGGTGGCGTCCAGGCGCCGGCAGCGCTGCAGCTCCTTGTAGAGTTCCCCGCGGGGCGCGAACTCCAGGATGAGGAAGACGCGGCGCCGGTCGTGGAAATAATTGTAGAGCCGGAGCACGTTGGGGTGCCTGGGGGGGGGAACCCCAAAAATGAGACCCCCGACCCAAAATGAGACCCCCACCCCAAAAATGAGACCACCCCCACCTCAAAAATCAGACCCCACCCCAAAAAAACCTGGGGTCAAAACCCCCAGACCCCAAAATCTGTCCTGACCCCCCCCGGGGCACAATGGTGCAGTCTGAGATTTTTGGGGGGATGGGGGCGCCCCAAAAATGAGACCCCTGACCCAAAAATGAGACCCCTGACCCAAAATGAGACCCTCACCCCAAAAATGAGACCCCCGACCCAAAAATGAGACCCCTGACCCAAAATGAGACCCCACCCCAAAAATGAGACCCCTGACCCAAAAATGAGACCCCTGACCCAAAATGAGACCCCCGACCCAAAAATGAGACCCCTGACCCAAAAATGAGACCCCTGACCCAAAATGAGACCCCCGACCCAGGTGTGTGTCCCTCCCCCCAGGTGTGTCCCAGGTGTGCCCAGGTGTGTGTCCCTCCCCCCAGGTGTGTCCCAGGTGTGTACCCAGGTGTGTGCCCAGGTGTGTTTCCCTCCCCCCAGGTGTGTGCCCAGCTGTACCCAGGTGTGTCCCAGATGTGTCCAGGTGTGCCCAGGTGTGTTTCCCTCCCCCCAGCTGTGCCCAGGTGTGCCCGGGTACCTGAGGTGGGCCTGGATCTCGATCTCGCGCCTCAGCTGGTGCTCCACCCCCAGGTGTGTCCCAGGTGTGATTCCCTCCCCCCAGCTGTACCCAGGTGTGTGCCCAGGTGTGCCCAGGTGTGTCCCTCCCCCCAGGTGTGCCCAGGTACCTGAGGTGGGCCTGGATCTCGATCTCATGCCTCAGCTGGTGCTCCACCCCCAGGTGTGTGCCCAGGTGTGTCCCAGGTGTGCCCAGCTGTGCCCAGGTGTGCCCAGGTGTGATTCCCTCCCCCCAGGTGTGTGCCCAGGTGTGCCCGGGTACCTGAGGTGGGCCTGGATCTCGATCTCGCGCCTCAGCTGGTGCTCCACACCCCAGGTGTGTGCCCAGGTGTACCCAGGTGTGTGCCCAGGTGTGTCCCAGCTGTACCCAGGTGTGTGCCCAGGTGTGTCCCAGGTGTGTTTCCCTCCCCCCAGGTGTGTGCCCAGGTGTGCCCGGGTACCTGAGGTGGGCCTGGATCTCGATCTCGCGCCTCAGCTGGTGCTCCACCCCCAGGTGTGTGCCCAGCTGTGCCCAGCTGTACCCAGGTGTGTCCCAGGTGTGTACCCAGCTGTACCCAGGTGTGTCCAGGTGTGTCCCAGCTGTGCCCAGGTACCTGAGGTGGGCCTGGATCTCGATCTCGCGCCTCAGCTGGTGCTCCACGCCCTCCTGCTCCACCTGGGACTTGAAGAGCACCTTGAGGGCCACCAGGAAGCCGGAGCGCCGCTCCCGCGCCAGGTACACGTTCCCGAACTTGCCCTTGCCCAGCGGCCGGCCCACCTCGAAGTCCTCCAGCGAGAAGGTGCGCCTGCGGGGGCACACCTGGGTCACCTGGCACGCCTGGCACAGGTGGGCACACCTGGCACAGGTGGGGTAACACCTGGGGTGACACCTGGGGAATGTTCCCACCCCCACCTCGAAATCCTCCAGCGAGAAGGTGCGCCTGTGCGGGCACACCTGGGTCACCTGGCACGCCTGGCACAGGTGGGGTGACACCTGGGGGCACCTGGCACGCCTGGCACAGGTGGGGTGACACCTGGGGTAACACCTGGGGGCACTGGGCACACCTGGCACAGGTGGGGTGACACCTGGGGGCACCTGGCACACCTGGCACAGGTGGGGGCACACCTGGGGGTACCTGGCACAGGTGGGGTGACACCTGGGGTGACACCTGGGGGCACCTGGGGTCACACCTGGGCACACCTGGGGTCACCTGAGGGCACACCTGGGCATACCTGGGCACACCTGGGCACACCTGGGCACACCTGGGGACACCTGGGGACACACCTGGGCACACCTGGGCACACCTGGCACACCTGCCCTCCCCCCATTCCCGGGAGGTTTTGGGGACTCCCATCCCCCACTCACACGGGTGGGGGAGGGGCCGGCACCGCGCTGGGCTCCAGGGGCACCCGCCCGGCACCTGGGGAGAGGGTGAGGAAACAGCCCAAACACCCAAAAACACCCAAAACACCCCAAAAACAGCCCAAAAACAGCCCAAACACCCAAAAACACCCCAAAAACAGCCCAAAAACAGCCCAAAAACAGCCCAAACACCCAAAAACAGCCCAAAACAGCCCCAAACACCCCAAAAACAGCCCAAAACAGCCCAAACACCCAAAAACACCCAAAACAAGCCCAAAACAGCCCAAAACACCCTAAAAACAGCCCAAAACACCCAAAAACAGCCCAAACACCCAAAAACAGCCCAAAACACCCAAAAACAGCCCAAACACCCAAAAACAGCCCAAAAACAGCCCAAAACACCCCAAAAACACCCAAAACACCCAAAAACAGCCCAAAAACAGCCCAAAACACCCAAAAACAGCCCAAAAACACCAAAAACAGCCCAAAAACAGCCCAAACACCCACCCAAAACACCCCAAAAACACCCGAAACACCCCAAAACAGCCCAAACACTCCAAAAACAGCCCAAAAACAGCCCAAAAACAGCCCAAACACTCCAAAAACAGCCCAAAACACCCCAAAAACAGCCCAAAAACACCCAAAAACAGCCCAAACACTCCAAAAACAGCCCAAAACACCCCAAAAACAGCCCAAAAACAGCCCAAAACACCCTAAAAACAGCCCAAACACCCCAAAAACAGCCCCAAAAACAGCCCAAAACACCCCAAAAACACCCAAAACACCCAAAAACAGCCCAAACACCCCAAAAACAGCCCAAAAACAGCCCAAACACCCAAAAACAGCCCAAAACACCCAAAAACAGCCCAAAAACAGCCCAAAACACCCCAAAAACAGCCCAAACACCCCAAAAACAGCCCAAAAACAGCCCAAACACCCAAAACCAGCCCAAAACACCCCAAAAACAGCCCAAACACCCCAAAACAGCCCCAAAACAGCCCAAACACCCCAAAAACAGCCCAAACCACCCCAAAATACCCCAAAAACAGCCCAAACCACCCCAAAAACAGCCCAAAACACCCCAAAAACAGCCCAAAAACAGCCCAAACACCCCAAAAACAGCCCAAACACCCAAAAAACAGCCCCAAAACAGCCCAAACACCCCAAAAACAGCCCAAACACCCCAAAACACCCCAAAAACAGCCCAAAACACCCCAAAATACCCCAAAACTGACAAAACAACCCAAACCCAGCCCAAAAACAGACAAAACACCCCAAAATACCCAAAAATAGCCCAAAACCAGCCCAAACACCCAAAAACAGCCCAAAACACCCCAAAAACAGCCCCAAAACACCCCAAAAACAGCCCAAACACCCAAAACCAGCCCAAAAACAGCCCAAACACCCAAAACCAGCCCAAAGCAGCCAAAACACCCCAAAAACAGCCCAAACACCCAAAACCAGCCCAAAAACAGCCCAAACACCCCAAAAACAGCCCAAAGCAGCCAAAACACCCCAAAACCAGCCCAAACACCCCAAAAACAGACCAAAAACAGCCAAAACACCCAAAAAACAGCCAAAAAACCCCAAAAACAGCCCCAAAACAGCCCAAACACCCCAAAACCACCCCAAAAACCACCCAACCCC